TCCTGTTTATTAACACTGGTTTACATCTTCCTGTTTATTAACACTGGTAGGTATCTTCCTGTTTATTAACACTGGTAGACATCTTCCTGTTTATTAACACTGGTAGGTATCTTCCTGTTTATTAACACTGGTAGACATCTTCCTGTTTAGTAACATTGATGTACATCTTCCTGTTTATTAACACTGGTTTACATCTTCCTGTTTATTAACACTGGTTTACATCTTCCTGTTTATTAACACTGGTTTACATCTTCCTGTTTACTAACACTAGTTTACATCTTCCTATTTAGTAACATTTAGGTACAAATTCCTGTTTAGTAACACTGGTATACATCTTTCTGTTCAATAACACTGATGTACAAATTCCTGTTTAGTAACACTGGTATACATCTTTCTGTTCAATAACACTGATGTACAAATTCCTGTTTAGTAACACTGGTATACATCTTTCTGTTCAATAACACTGATGTACAAATTCCTGTTTAGTAAACCTGAAGTATATTATGTGTATAACACACATTCATACAATAAACTAGTCCAGTGATCCTGAAGTATATTATCTGTATAACACACATTCATACAATAAACTAGTCCAGTGAACCTGAAGTATATTATCTGTATTAGAGTACAGTAAGAACGTAGATGTATGGTTAGTAGCAAAGTTGCCTGAAGTCTCTGTTGAGTTGTATTTGTACTTCCCAAGAGATATTACTGACTACAGTGGTGCCTCTATTGTCTAATCCCCAAAACTAACTAAGAAAAGTTAACAGTCGATATGATTACATTCTTATTTTTGAAAGCAGTGCTCGAAGGATGCGTCAACTTAACGTAAGAGTTTTATATTAAATTAATAACACATGATTTCATAATATTTCTAATACGGCATATATATATTTAGGTTCCAGCTGTAGAAGGTGTAACAAGTTAGCAGTATCAATGAATCCCACGAACTCACAACCATAACAATTTTCTAGGGCGTGTGCTTCGTATCGCTCGCTGTACAGTAACAACAAGAATCACTGGCATAGTAGATGGAAAAAAAAAAGTCCCACAATGGTTGTCACAAGGCTGCTACTCTCATTACAATCTATGTTGTAAGAAACACAAGTACTAAAACAACACAGTATTAAATCACCTAAACCAAAACACCGGTAAAGAAAACAGACGAGAATTATCTGTAGATATTATTGTAGATTAATGCTTTTTAGGATCTAAATAACTCCTTTATTAATTGGACACACACTGTGTATGTTTGGAAAGCTCTGGCAAGTTAAGCATCCTACTTATGAGTATGATGTATTAATAAATGTTTCGGCTCTATATACATAACTATATAATCTCCCCCTATGTCATCACAGATTTGTCAACACGTTTAACACTACTACATGACTTTGATGAATTATATTAAAATCTTAGTAAGTATCATTCTTCCAAATTTCTACAAACTTTTAGCATATAGAGGCTGCAAACAACGTTTCAACAAACGTTTTTTAACTAAACTTTGACAAGAGCAGACATTCTTCCTGTGCGGACATCCAGTTTTCACAAACATGTATTCACTTGCTGGTAACATGAATGGAGAAGCTGGAGTAACCAAACCTTTCTAAATCTAAACAATTCAGCCACACGTCTCATGAAGGCTGCAGGGGGTGTTAACAGATTCGCTACTTTGCACCACGAAGAAAAACCGCTCTAGAAAAAAGGTCAACATATAAGATTATTGAAAACACACACATTCTCTTACGACACAATGATTCTATTAAGAGTCTAAACAGTAAGATATAACTAGAATCAAATGTACGTCTGTAAAAACACTGAGACACAGAACAGCCTTAGGAAGAATATTGTGTATATCAGTTTTATCATAGAATTGTTTATGATACTAAACAAAGGTTGTGTATCAATATTAATAGATAAGATATAAAACAGTATTGTTTAGTAGAGGATACATAAATACGTATAGATCAGCAATATTAAATGGTGAGACACAGAACAGCCTTAGGAAGAATATTATGTATATCAGTTTTATCATAGAATTGTTTATGATACTAAACAAAGGTTGTGTATCAATATTAATAGATAAGATATAAAACAGTATTGTTTAGTAGAGGATACACAAATGCGTATAGATCAGCAATATTAAATGGTGAGATATATAATAGTATCATTAAGAATAACATGTATACTACTGTTAATAAATGGTAATATATATATATATATATATATATCACTGTTAATAAACAATATCAGTGTTCACATTCATACAATAAACTAGTCCAGTTTGTTATACATATAA